TTATTGTACTGTTATTATTTTATCCTTTCATAATCTGGTAATTGATATCATTATCAAGGTAATTAATGATTTCTGGGGAAGTATTTTGTGACTATGTAAATATCCTGTTTTCTTTTTTTTCTTGTCAGTGTTGTTTTTTTTTTTTTCCCGAGACATGGTCTCACTCTGTTGTCCATACGTGAGTGCAATGGCTTGATCTAGGCTCACTGCAACCTCTGCCTTCCAGGTTCAAGCAATTCTCCCAGCTCAGCCTCCTGAGAAGTTGGGACTAAAGGTGCGTATGCCACTATGCTCAGCTAATTTTTGTATTTTTTGATAGAGATGGCATTTCACCATATTGGCCTGGCTGGTCTTGAACTCCTGACCTCAAGTGATCTGTCCGCCTTGGCCTCCCAAAGTGTTGAGATTACAGGTGTGAGCTGCTGTGCACAGCCCAATATCCTGTTTTTCAACAAACTTTTACTCATTATTTTTAGTTCCATTGATAATTCTTTTTTTTTTTTTTTTTTGAGACGGGGTCTCGCTCTGTCACCCAGGCTGGAGTGCAGTGGCCGGATCTCAGCTCACTGCAAGCTCCGCCTCCCGGGTTCACGCCATTCTCCTGCCTCAGCCTCCCGAGTAGCTGGGACTACAGGCGCCCGCCACCTCGCCCGGCTAGTTTTTTTTGTATTTTTTAGTAGAGACGGGGTTTCACCGGGTTCGCCAGGATGGTCTCGATCTCCTGACCTTGTTATCCGCCCGTCTCGGCCTCCCAAAGTGCTGGGATTACAGGCTTGAGCCACCGCGCCCGGCCTCCATTGATAATTCTTAAGTGAAACAATTATTAGCATGGTGATTGCCACATGTAAATTATCTAACTCTTTCACTGCTTTTACGTTTAAGGATGGACTCATAGGTTTTATTCTATGGGCCATAAATCCCTTGTTAGCCTTCTTCATTCACGTTGACACAGGTTTGGCCAAAGATAGCGCCATCAAGCTGGGTCTAGTGTACTTTTGATTTGTTCCTACCTTCCTTTCAGCATGTCCTGTTTTCTAATACAATACAATGTTTGGGGTTCATCTTGTACTTCCCTATCCAGTTCTGGAATAATCATTTATCCAAGGAACTCTGATTCCTTTGGGGAGTGCTGTTTAGAAACCAAGGTCTGGAACTCTAGGTGCTCATAGCGATGGGAGCGTCGTTGCTTCTAGGCTTTGGCTGTGTCTCTTCAGAGTCCACTATAGTCATCCTATTTCTGTCTGCTGTCGATGACACTAAAGTTCCATTCTTCATCACTTCCATTTCCCTCCCTATAAGTTAGTACCTGGAAGCTTTCTTAGAGGTCACAAGAAATCATTATATTCAGGTATGGAATGCAATTTTTGTGTAGATAACAAATCTATATTCATGAAATCTGGTCATCCATCTTTTTGCAAAGTCTTTTCCTATGAAAGGTATGTTTTTTCTTTTCTTTTCTTTTCTTTTTGAGACAGAGTCTCTCTCTGTTACCCAGGCTGGAGTGAAGTGGCGCAGTCTCAGCTCACCGCAACCTCTGCCTCCTGGGTTCAAGCGATTCTCTTGTCTCAGCCTCTCTAGTAGCTGGCATTACAGACATGTGCCACCACGCCCGGCTAATTTTGTATTTTTAGTAGAGACGGGGTTCTCCATGGTGGTCAGGCTGGTCTCGAACTCCCGACCTCAGGTGATCTCCCTGCTGCAGCTTCCCAAAGTGCTAAGATTACAGGTGTGAACCACTGTGCCCGGCCAAGATGTGTTTTTTCTTTCTTTTCTTTCTTTCTTTTTTTTTGAGACGGAGCCTTGCTCTTTCTCCCAGGCTGGAGTGCAGTGGCACGATCTGGGCTCACTGCAAGCTCCGCCTCCCGGGTTCACACCATTCTCCTGCCTCAGCCTCCTGAGTACGTGGGACTACAGGCGCCCGCCACCTCACCCAGCTAATTTTTTGTATTTTTAGTAGAGACGGAATTTTACCGTGTTAGCCAGGATGGTCTGGATCTCCTAACTTTGTGATCCGCCTGCCTCGGCCTCCCAAGGTCCTGGGATTACAGGGGTGAGCCACTGCGCCTGGCCCAAGGTGTGTTTTTTCTAAACAGTTTTTTGAAAGAGTAGGTCATGTTACCTAACAACCACTGGCTGTCTATTCTTTAATAGTGTTCAATTGTGTTGCTGTATTCTTGACATCACATAACAGAAGAATAAAGAAATTTTCTTCACATCAGACTGGAAGGTAATGGAAATGTTTACTGTTTATTCTGTTTTCAGTAACTGTTTCAACCGTTCCATGTCTATAATTTACTTGACAAATAATTAATGACTCCCATTGTACTAGGTCATAGTATTCCTCATAGTCATAAAATGCCAGCAAGAAGGACCCTTAGCCTGTTGAGTCCAATCCCTTACTTTTTTTTTTTTTCCTCCGAGATGGAGTCTCACTCTGTCACCCAGGCTGGAGTGCAATGGCATGATCTCAGCTCACTGCAACCTCTGCCTCCCGAGCTCAAGCGATTCTCCTGCTTTAGCCTCCCGAGTAGCTGGGATTATAGGCGTCCGCCACCTCGACTGACTAATTTTTGTATTTTTTGTGCAGGTGGGGTTTCACCATATTAGCCAGGCTGGTCTCGAACTCCTGACCTCAGGTGATGCACCTGCCGTGGCCGCCCAAATTGGTAGGATTGCAGGCATGAGCCACCACACCCAGCCAATCCTTTACTTTTACAGGTGGAGAAACTGAGACCTAAGAACTGAACTGACTGACTTAAGTCCGTGGCTAATTGATTGCAGAGCCAAAAGCGGAGTCCAGGGCTCCTAACTTCCATTCTAGAACATTTTTGCTGTGGGTAGTGGAGAGAGATTGGGTTGATGGAACCTGCCTGAAGTTTCCATGGTTGCTGGGTGGAAACAGCACGCTTCCTTCTGTCTTGGCACTCACGTATCCAGATGGGCATTGAATTTTTCCAATGATTGGTCATTTGATGACCAGGCAGGGGAGCAGAAAACGAGATGGTCCAGACCAGAAGCTGTTTAAGGATGTGTTGTTGCCTGACCAGACACCTTAAGGCCAGAATTCTAAGTAGTTTCGAAACTCCTCCTGCCTTTCCTAGCCCCATCTACGGACTTTCTGCTTTCTTCAGAATGCTCTGTTGGGCAGGTGCAGTGGTTCACGCCTCTAATCCCGACACTTAGGCCGAGGCGGGAAGATTACGTGGGCCTAGGAGTTCGAGACCAGCCAAGGCAACATAATGGGCTGGGCCCTTTTCTCTACAAAAAAAAAAAAAAAAGCTGAGTGTGGCGGTATGCACCTACAGTCCCAGCTACTTGAGGGGCTGAGGCGGGAGGGTCACTTGAGCCTGGGAGGTTGGGGCTGCAGTGAGCCGTGATCACACTGCATTCCAGTCTGGGAGACGGTGAGGACCTATCTCAAAAAAAAAAAACCCGCAAAACCAAAAAAGACCCTGCTCTGTTTATAAAAAAGGTCTGTTGGTTTTCTTTTTTAATATTTTCAGTTTAGCAGTATTTTGACATCAACATAGTTACATTCGTACAAGTTTCTTAAAAAGTTAAATAGAGGCCAGGTGCGGTGGCTGACGCCTGTAATCCCAACACTTTGGGAGGCCGAGGCGGGTAGATCACGAGGTCAGGAGATGGAGACCGTCCTGGCTAACACAGTGAAACTCCGTCTCCACTAAAAATATGAAAAAATTAGCCGGGCGTGGTGGCGGCGCCTGTAGTCCCCGCTCCTTGGGAGCCTGAGGCAGGAGAATGGCGTGAACCCGGGAGGCAGAACTTGCAGTGAGCCAGGATCGCGCCACTGCACTCCAGTTTGGGCGACAGAACGAGACTCCATCTCAAAAAAAAAAAAAAAAAAGTTAAACACAAATATATCTTATGATCCATTCCTGACTGTCTACCCAAGAGCGGTGAAAACGTATGTCCACCCGAAGACTTGTATGTAAACAGCAGCATTGTTCGTGATGGTCAACAAGTAGAAACGAGCCAGCTGTCCAGGAACTGGGGAATATGGATAAACAAAGCGTAGTTATTCTTACTGTGGAATATTATTCACCCATAAAAAGAAGTGAAATACTGACAAGTTGTAAAGTGGATGAACCTCACAAACTTGTGTTAAGTGACCAGAAGACCTCATTATGATTTCAGTTCCTTGAAATATCTAGAAAAGGTAAGTCTGTAAAGACAGAAAGTACATCAATGGTTGCCTCAGGCTAAAGTTGGAAATGAAGAAAGACATGCAAATGGTCATGAGTTCTCCTTTTTGGGGTGATAGGGGTGCTCTAAAAGTGGGTTTTGGTGATGGTTGCACAACTCTGTTAATATACTAGAAACTATTCAATTGTACACTTACAGGTGAATTTTATAGTATGTGAATTATACTTCATAAAGCTTTGAAAAATTACATTTTAAATTTGATGTCTGTAATAGTTGTCATGTTTAAGTATCTTATCCTGTCTTCATTATTAAACATTTTTATACTGCTTTCTTTCCACTTTTAAGTAGGATTTTCAAGGAATGCTAATGTCAGATGATGTTAATGGTAACAGTAAAAATAGCTAGCATTTGTAAAATAGTTACTATGCACCAGACATTATGCTAAGTACTTCTAGGTTATCTCACAGTAGCATTGTGATATTGGTACTACTATCCTCATTTTACAGCAGAGGAAACAGTTTCCTAAAGGTAAATGACTTGTCCAAAGTCACACAGTAAGGAGACAGTGAGACAGGAATTTGACCGAGTCATTTAATCTCTGTGCTCTGTATATGGATATGCAGTGTTTTTGGTGGAGGATTGTACTGCTTTTCATATGCAGTGACTGTTAAACACTCATGTATATATGCCACTGGGATGAATGCTCTGTATAACTATTTATGTGTGATCTCTCCAGGAAATTCAGATGGGCATTTGGTTTTGCCTGTTTGTCACAGAGCTTGTACAACATAGTGAATCTTATTAATCAGTTTTACTTCTTTTTCTCTATTCCTCAGCCTTAATTTTAAAGACCCCGAAGCAGTCAGAGCTCTGACTTGTACTCTCCTAAGGGAAGATTTTGGACTTTCTATTGATATTCCATTGGAGAGACTAATTCCCACAGTTCCCTTGAGACTCAACTATATTCACTGGGTAGAAGATCTGATCGGTCACCAGGATTCTGACAAAAGTACTCTCCGAAGAGGAATTGACATAGGTATATAGTTTTAAATTCTTTTTTGGCTAAACATAGGTTTCGTAAGTTTTGCAAGATCAAATTCTTTGTAAACTTTTCTACTGGGTATTTGTTGTTGTACGAAAGAAGCTGGCTACAGATACAGGTTGAGCATCCTTAATCCGAAAATCCAAAATGCTTCCAAATCTGCAACCTCTGAGCACTGATATGCTGCTCAAAGGCAATGTGCATTGGAGCTTTCCAGATGTGGGGGTTAGGGATGTTCAGCCTGTAAATATTATGCAAATATTTCAAAATCTGAAAAAAAAACCTGAAATCCAAAACACTTCTCATCCCAAGCATTTTGGATTAGAGATCCTCAACCTGTATTACCGTCTTATTTACTACACCTGTTACCATTCTTATTTACTACACCTATTACCGTTCTTATTTACTACACCTGTTACCATTCTTATTTACTACACCTGGTACCATTCTTATTTACTACACCTGTTACCATTCTTATTTACTACACCTATTACCGTTCTTATTTACTACACCTGTTACCATTCTTATTTACTACACCTATTACCGTTCTTATTTACTACACCTGTTACCATTCTTAGTTACTACACCTATTACCGTTCTTACTTACCACACCTGTTACCATTCTTATTTACTACACCTGGTACCATTCTTATTTAGTATACCTGTTACCGTTCTTATTTCCTACACCTGGACTTTTCTCCCACTGATTTCTCTTGAGAAGGGATTGTCAGTCCAAACAGGAAGCAAGAGGTTAAGGGAAGTACAAAATGAAAGTGAGGCTCTTACTTACATAGCTTTTCATTTTTTTTTTTTAATTAAAAAATTAAAAAAAAAATTTTTATTTTGAAATAGGGTCTCGTCGTGTTGCCCAAGGTTAGTCTTGACTCCTGGGCTCAAGCAATCCACCTGCCTCAGCTTCCCAAAGTGCTGGGATTACAGGCATGAGCCACGACACCTGGCCCTACTTAGCTTTTCAGATTACCTCATTGATGTCTGTGTCTGTTGGGCTTTATTTTTACTCTGGTGTCTTCATGTTGTGATTTTTTTTTTTTTTTTTTTGAGGTGGAGTTTTGCTCTTGTTGCCCAGGCTGGCGTGCAATGGCGTGGTCTCAACTCAGTGCAACCTCCGCCTCCCAGGTTTAAGCAATGCTCCTGCCTCAGCCTCCCAAGTAGCTGAGATTACAGGTGTCCTCCACCACACCTGGCTAACTTTTGTACTTTTAGTAGAGATGGGATTTCACCATGTTGATCAGGTTGTTCTCAAACTCCTGACCTCAGGTGATCTGCCCACCTCATCCTCTCAAAGTGCTGGGATTACAGGCGTGAGCCACCACGCCTGACCACCGCGCCTGGCCTCTGTTTTGAACTCAGTGGAATTATTAGCATTCCTCACTCCTAGATAGTAGTAAGTGTTTAACTTTGATGTTTGCATACATTTTCAGTCCTCATCCTACATGATCTTTTCAGCGGCATTTATTGATCCCTCCTTTCTCTTTTGTTCGCTCTCCTTCATTTGCTTTCATGACGCCAGACTGTTGGTTTCCTCTTTCGTTTCTGTGCACTGTTCTCCACTTTTCAGGCGTACCTGCTTGTATCTGACCACTAGATATTGGTATTCCTTGCATAAGGCTCAGCCTTTAGCTCCTTTCTCACTCAGCACCCTACCCTGGCAATTGCATTCACTTCTATGATGATTTCCCACCTCCATACAAATAAATCACATGTTTATATGTTCCTGCAACTCAGATTACTTTCCTTGACCTCCAATCGCATATATAAGAGAAACTTGGATTTCTGAAAAACATCTCAGACTTGCTGTGTCCAAGACCAAACTCACAGTGTTTCCCTAATTCTGGTTCTCTTTGTTTCTTGTTTCAGTGAGTCTACCATAGTCCACCCTGTGATCCTTGGTACTTACCACTCAGTAAAAAAATGTCTATGACTGTTTCCTGTTGACTTTCTCTCTTAAATACTTCTGAAATCATCTACTTGTCTCCATCTCCACTGCCGTCCTAGCCAAGTCATCATCTCTTACCTTTTTGCATTTCTGCATTTCTCACCTCTTCTGCTTCTCACCTAGTTTTACTTAAAAAGCTTGACAGCCTAGTTGGTACTAATTTGATTTTAATTATGCCCCAAACCCTCTAAAATAGCATTTGGGGATAGAGGAGGTTAATGGATTTTAATTCTTCACAAGGGGCACTACCTAACTGCAATCACGTCCATTCTAATTAGGGCTTTATATAAATTCTTCCCCCAGACTCCATCAGTTTGCTCTAGTTCTACGATTACGTACTTTCCATTTTTATTTATCATTACAAAGATTATTACCCATTTAAAAATGTCATTTGGCTTTCTGAGGGGATTTTGTTCTGTCCTATAAAGGACTAGTAAAGAATCTGTTGCATTCTATTAGAGTGCAAGTCTTTGGGTCTTGAGAATTAAGAAACTTTTTTTGGCGCTGACAAATCTTTTATGTATATTTATTACCCTGGAGGTAAGTGTACTTTTTTAATCTTTTAAATGAAATTGAAGTTTGAAGAGAGAGGCAGTTGTGTAAAAGTCAAGGATCTGGTCTGGATTTTTTTCCTACAGAGTAGAAAGTACAACTGAAATGTTCTGATTATGTGTGTGTCTGGCTTACTAGAACGGCTAGCAGGAGCTAAAGCGGTGTGGTTTCTGAGAAGACCTTGAATACCCTTTACCACCCTTTCCCTCACCACCCCCAGGTATCCAAGGAGGTGCTTGTCCAGTAGCACTGGGGCCCGGATACTCTCGGGCAAACATGGTAGGCAACGCAGCATTCACCGTGACCATCAAAGAGCTTAAATGTTGGGGCCGTCAGCTTTTAGTAGCCTGTTCTGGATGCGTAATGAGGAAGCAGTATGACAAGCCTGGATTTCCTCTGGGTTAGGAGTATCTAGCCCCTGCTTCTCCCTGGCAAATCCTTACAAGGCTAGACCGGAACTGGGATATGGTCAGATGAGAGCAGACCTAGAGTGACTGGTGGAGGCTGACTGCTTTAGGCCTCTGGGAGAAACACTTTTCTCTTGAATATACTCTTTAGGATCTAATTGGCCAAGATAGTCAATATTGTAAGAGAGAGAGAGAGAGATTGAGATTTGCTCTGTCACCCAGGCTGAAGTGCAGTGGCAAGGTCTCAGCTTACTGCAACCTGCACCTCCCAGGTTCGAGTGATTCTCCTGCCTCAGCCTCCTGAGTAGCTGGAATTGCAGGTGCCCACCATCATGCCCAGCTAATTTCTGTAGTTTTAATAGAGACGGGGTTTCACCATGTTGCAGGCAGGCCTGGAACTCCTGACCTCAGGTGGTCCGCTCAGGTGGTCCGCCTGCCTCAGCCTCCTAAAGTGCTGGGACTACAGGTGTGAGCCACCATGCCCGGCCTTTAAAAACAATATTCATGGTTAGTATATAGTCCAGTCCAGGACTCGGGGTTCTACATAATTTAGTACCAAACCCTAGTGGTCAAAGAGTGTTTTTTTTTGCCTGGAGTGTTTGCCTTTTGAATACCTCCCTTGACACTGTGGTGAGGCGAGCCAGTGACTCTGATGTCTTGGCTTCAAACCAAGTATTTTCCCATGTCTCTACATCTAAGAGATAGATGAGTTATCTCTAATCTCTTTAGTTTTTTTGTTTGTTTGTTTGTTTGTTTTTTCCACTTCTTATTTCTTTCAGCTGACAACTTACAGACATTTGGGTAATTCAGCAGTTTAATAAAGATTTTATACCCTACATATTTTTTCTTGCTTTTAGAGAATGGAATGTACATTGATCCATTTTAAGATATTACAAAGGCATTTTAACAAATAGCATTGTTTTCTTTTAAGGAAATTGAGTTTTGTGTGAGATTTAAAATGAAGACTCTTTACAAAGTAAATCAGCTGAGTTTTGAGCATTTTAGGTGAATTAGTCACATATTCCTCAACTTCTGCTTGTGTATTCTTCATTTTTTATACAACACACGAAAGAGGAGGCCAGCAAGGTTTCGATACTTGAGGAAGTTTGAGTCTAATTAGGAGGTAAGACTAATATACACGAATGACTAGGGAACCCAGTAGCCATAATATATGTGAAATCAGGTACCAGCTTGTGATTTCTCTACCAAAAAATACAAAAATTACAGAAAATACAAAAATTAGCCAGGCATGGTGGCATGCACCTGTAGTCCCGGGAAGTCGGGAGGCTGAGTGGGGAGAATCGCCTGAGCCCAGGAAGTCGAGGCTGCAGTGAACTGTGATCATACCACTGCACTGTAGCCTGGGTGACGGAGTGACACCCTGTCTGAAAACAGAATTCTGAGAAGAGTGGTGTTTTCATAATGATTCTAACCTTTCCCTCTGGTGTGTGGAATGTGTTTTGAATTTTCGTTTTACTAGGTACGGGGGCGTCCTGCATCTACCCCTTACTCGGAGCAACCTTGAATGGCTGGTATTTCCTTGCAACAGAAGTGGATGATATGTGTTTCAACTATGCAAAGAAAAATGTGGAACAGAATAACTTATCTGATCTCATAAAAGGTTAGCGCCACAGAATGAATACCTCCACACTCTGTGTCTTCACCTGCCTTTTTAGTTTAACACATTTCATTACCTTTTTCTTGAATATGCAGACTACGGCAATTTTTAAAAATCCGGCACTTTGTAATTGGGTTGGTTTTCTGTCTTGATACCAGAATTAACTCAGAAAGAAAATAGTAACTACAGTTGATCCTTACTGTTTGTGGATTCTTTATTAGTGAATTTGCCTGCTTGCCAAAATGTATGTATTTATCCATTCATTTATTTTAGTAGATTTTCTTGAATAAATTTTTTTTATTCGTTATAACCCCTTAGAAACATTTCCAGAGACTTTAAGTGGTGGTTTTTTGTTTGTTTGTTGAGTTTATTTTTTAGGGCATTTTTAGGTTCATAGCAAAATGAAGTGGAAGATTCAGAGATTCCCTGTATATCCCTGCCCCCACACATGCATAGCCTTCTCCATTATCAGCATGCCCCAGCAGAGTGGGATATTTGTCACAGGTGATGAACCTATGCTGGCACATCATTGTCACCCACCGTTCGTGCTTTACATCACGGATTCCTCTTGGTGGTGTACATTTCGTAGTTTTGGACGAATGAAGCGGACATGTGTCTCCCAGTACAGTATACACAGAATCGTTTCACTGCCCTGCCATCTTCTGTGCCTCAGCTGTCCGTCTCTCACTGGCCCCAGCCCCAGGAAACTACTGACCTGTTTACTGTCTCCATAGTTGTACATTTTCCAGAACGTCATATAATTGGAACCACACAGTAGATAGACTCTTCAGAGTGGCTTCTTCCACTGAGTGACGTTTCTTTAACTTTCCTAATGTCTTTTTACAGTTTGATAGCTTTTTAAAAAATTCTTTTAATTTATTTTTTTTCTGCTGCCTCTCTAATTGCAGAAAGCTCATTTATTTTTAGCACATTTCATTTTGATATTCGATTATCTGGGTGTACCAGAGTTTCTCCATTCACCTCTTGAAGGACATCTTGATCGTTTCCAAATTTTGACAATTACAGATAAAGTTGTGAGAAACATCTGTGTGCAGCTTTTTCTGTGCATGTAAGTTTTTGACTCCTTTAGGTAAATGCCAAGCAGTGTGCTTGCTGGATGGTGTGGTAACGGGATGTTTAATTTTGTGAGAAACCACCAAACTCCCTTCCAGAGCACCGTTTTGCACTCCCACCAGCAATGGACGAAAGTTCCTGCTGCTCACATCCTTGCCAGCACTGGGTGTTGTCAGTGTTCTGGGTTTTGGCCATTCTAATAGGTGTGTAGTGGTACTTCCTTATTTTAATGTGCATTTTCCTGATATTGATGTAGAGCATCTTTTCATGTGCTCATTTACCATCTGTATATCTTTTTTGGTGAGATGTCTGTTCAGGCCTTTTGCCCCCCACCTTTTTTTTTTTTTTTTTTTTTTGAGACGGAGTCTTGCTCTGTCGCCCAGGCGGGAGTACAATGGCGCGATCTCGGCTCACTGCAACCTCTGCCTCCCAGGTTCAAGTGATTCTCCTGCCTCAGCCTCCCGAGTAGCTGGGATTACAGGTGGGTGCCACCACGCCTGGCTAATTTTTTGTGTTTTGAGTAGAGACAGAGTTTCACCGTGTTAGCCAGGATGGTCTCGATCTCCTGACCTTGTGATCCGCCCGCCTTGGCCTCCAAAAGTGCTGGGATTACAGGCGTGAGCCACCGCACCCAGCTTTTTTTTTTTTTTTTTTTGAGACTTAGTTTTGCTCTTGTTCCCCAGGCGGGAGTACAATGGCGCGATCTCGGCTCACTGCAACCTCTGCCTCCCAGGTTCAAGTGATTCTCCTGCCTCAGCCTCCCAGGTAGCTGAGATTACAGGCACCCCCCACCATGCCCAGCTAATTTTTGTATTTTTAGTAGAGATGGGGTTTCACCGTGTTACCCAGGCTGGTCTCAAACTCCTGTCCTCAAGTGATTCTCTTGTCTGTACCTCCCAGAGTGTTGGAATGATAGACATGAGTCACTGCCCCCAGCCAAGTCCAGCTTATTGATCTTCTTTTAAGGAATTATATACAGTACCGTTGGTATTATATCCAAAAGTGCTGTAATCTCAGCACGCTGGGGGCTGAGGTGGGTAGATCTTTGAGGTCAGGAGTTTGAGACCAGCCTGGCCTACGTGACGAAACCCCATCTCTACTAAAAATACAAAAATTAGCCGGCGTTGTGGTGCGTGCATGTAATGCCAGTGACTCAGGAGGCTGAGGAGCAAGAATCACTTGAGTCTGGAAGGTGGAGGTTGCAGTGAGCCGAGATCACGACACTGCACCCCAGCCTGGGAAACAGAGCAAGACTCTGTTACTTTCTAGGAGTTTTATAGTCTTGCATTTTGCATTTAGGTTTGTGATCTGTTTTGAGTTAAATTTTGTGAAGGATATAAGGTCTGTGTCTAGATTCATTTTATGCATGTGGATGTCCAAGTGATGTTCCAGTATCAGTTCTTGAAAAGACTATATCTGTTCTGTTCTATTGATCTATTCATTCACTAAAAACATACTGTTTTGATTATAGTAGCTTTGTAGTAAGTTTTAGAATTGGGTAGTGTCAGTCTTTCAACTTGCCTCTTCTCTTTCAATACTGTGTTGGCTATCCTGAGCCTTTTGCCTCTCCAAATAAACTTTAAAATTAGTTTGTCAATAGCTAAAGTGTATGCATGTATGTTTATATGTATGAATGTATTTCCTTATTTAATTTTAGAGTCAGGGTCTCACTGTCACCCAGGCTGGAGTGTAGTGGCTCACTGTAACTTCAACCTCCTATGTTCAGGTAATCATCCAGCCTCAGCCTTGTGAGTAGCTGAGACTGCCGGTGTGTGCCACCACGCCTGGCTAATTTTTGTGTTTTTTTGTAGAGATGGGGTCTTGTCATGTTGCCCAGGCTGGTCTTAAACTCCTGGGCTCGAGTGATTTTCTGGCCTCGGCCTCCCAAAGTCCTGGAGTTACAGGCGTGAGCCACTACCCCCAACCAAAAATTTATTTTTAACTTAAAATTGACATTCATGGTACTTTTGTGGTCATTCACAGACACTTGCATAGTGGCATATAATCGGAGTTGCCCAGTGTGCTTGTTCCCAGCTGAGGCTCAGCAAGGCGATGCTCTGCCTTCTTACTCCAGCTTCCATACTGTGGACCAAGCGTCCTTTTCTTGGTCTATTTAATACCATGTTTTGGGTGTTTTTTTATTTTTATTTTGCATTTTTGTGCTTTCTCTTGGTGATTTTGCTGTTTAAAATAGTCCCTAAACATAGTGCTGAAAGGCTGTCTTGTGTTCCTCAGTGCAAAAAGGCTGTGATGTGCCTTACAGAGAAAATACACGTGTTAGATAGGCTTCCTTCAGACACGAGTCATAGTGGTGTTGGCCATGAGTTCAGTGTTAGTGAATCAGAAATGTATATTCGATAAAGTGTCTTTAAACACCATAAAACAAGATTGTGTGTCTATCAGTTGATGAAAATGTGATGAGAGACTTGTAGGAACCTAACCCTGTATTTCCCCTGGGAACCAGTGGTTCAGTATTCACTCATTGACTATTTGTGGCTACTTTGTACAACATAACTAGCGCAGATAATGAGAATTGACTATATGTGAAGTAACTTAGTCATCAAGATTTTAAAAGGAAGGAAACCCTACTGTTGATTAAACTATACCATCTTTTTAATTTCAGTACATAGGCAGGGCACGGTGACTCACATCTGTAATCCCAGCACTTTGGGAGGCCGAAGCAGATTGCCTGAGGTCGGGAGTTTGAGAGCAGCCTGATCAACATGGTGGAATTCCATCTCTACTAAAAATACAAAAATTAGCTGGGCGTGGTGGTGGGCACCTGTAATCCCAGCTACTCAGGAGGCTGAGGCAGGAGTATCGCTTGAACCTGGGAGGCAGAGGTTGCAGTGAGTGGAGATCATACCACTGCACTTTATTCTGGTCTACAGAGTGAGACTGTGTCTCAAAAACAAATAATAATTTCAGTACATAGAACTGTGCTAGAAATAGTCAAATCCCCTTGTGATTTGTTACTTTTTATTTTTGTGGCCGGGCGCGGTGGCTCAAGCCTGTAATCCCAGCACTTTGGGAGGCCGAGACGGGCCGATCACGAGGTCAGGAGATCGAGACCATCCTGGCGAACACAGTGAAACCCATCTCTACTAAAAAAATACAAAAAACTAGCCGGGCGAGGTGGCGGGCGCCTGTAGTCCCAGCTACTTGGGAGGCTGAGGCAGGAGAATGGCGTAAACCCAGGAGGCGGAGCTTGCAGTGAGCTGAGATCCAGCCACAGCACTCCAGCCTGGGCGACAGAGCAAGACTCCGTCTCAACAAAAAAAATAAATAAATAAAAATAAATATTTTTGTGACCATTCTGTGTATAAAGCAGTGTTAATTTTTTTTTCCATTGAAGAGATTTTATGTGTCTTTATGAAGGAAATAAGACTTTTCCTCATAGTATTGAACATATCTTTGTAAGGGGAGACATTCATATTATTAGTGCATTTGTTTTATTTCTCCATTGTTGTGTAACAAATTATTCCAAAATCTAGGAGCCTATTTACTTTATTTATTTATTTTTTGAGATAGACTCTTGCTGTGTCACCCAGGCTGGAGTGCAGTGGCACAGTCTCAGCTCACTGCAACCTCTGTCTCCCAGGTTCAAGCGATTCTCCTGCCTGAGCCTCCTGAGTAGCTGGGATTATAGATGCCCGCCACCACACCCGTCTAATTTTTGTGATTTTTTTTAGTAGAGACAGGGTTTCACCATGTTGGCCAGGTAGGTCTCGAACTCCTGACCTCAAGTGATCCACCTGCCTCGGCTTCCCGCAGTGTTGGGATTACAGGCATGAGCCACCTCATTGTTACATTGTTATTGTAACAATATAACAATCCCGGCCCTAGGAGCCTTAAAAAAAATTTTTTTTTTTTTTTTTGTTAGAGACAGGGTCTCACTCTGTGATCCAGGCTGGAGTGCAGTGGCGTGATCATGGCTCAAGCCTCCTGGGCTCAAGCAGTCTCTCACTTTAGCCTCCCAAGTAGCTAGAATGACAGGCTCATACCTCCACGGTCAGATAATTTTTTATTTTTAAAGTTTTTGTAGAGCTAGGTTCTTGCTATGTTACCCAGGCTAATCTGGAACTCTTGGTCTCAAGCAGTTCTCCCACCTTGGCCTCCCAAAGCACTGGGATTACAGGCATGAACCATCGCACTTGGCCCTAGCAACTTCAAACAATACACATTTATCTCATTGTTCCTATGGGTCATACATTCTGGCATAGCTTAGTCGGGTGGTTCCAGTTGAGACACTTTCATGCATTTGCAGTCAAGTTGTTGGCTAGAGCTACAGTATCTGCAGGATTTACGGGTGGTAGAGATTTGCTTCCGAGATGGCTTACTCGTGGCTCACTCACACGACTCTTGGAAGGAAACCCTGGTTCATAGCCATGTGGATCTCTCCATGAAGCTATTCGAGTGTCCTTAAAATGCAGCCGACACTCTAGGGGAAGGAAATTAAACTCCATCTCCTGAAGGGAGTAACGTCAAAGGGTTTGAGGACATACAGTCACGCATTACTTAACAGCAGGGATATATTCTGAGAAATGCATTGTTAGGTGATTTCATCGTAGTGTGTGCTCACGCACACCTAGGCCTGTATGTAATACCTGTGGCTCCTATGCTGTAACCTGAACAGTATGTTACTGTATTGAATACGGAAGGCTGTTTTAACACGATGGTAAGTATTTGTGTATCTAAGCATATCAAACATAGAAAAGGTACAGTAAAAATGTGGTGTTATCATCTTACGGGACCAGCGTCGTATATGCAGTCCATTGTTACAAAGCGTCATTATGCAGGGCGTGATTATGCTTTAAAACCACCGCGTGGCCGGGCGCGGTGGCTCAAGCCTGTAATCCCAGCACTTTGGGAGGCCGAGACGGGCGGATCACAAGGTCAGGAGATCGAGACCATCCTGGCTAACATGGCGTGAACCCGGGAGGCGGAGCTTGCAGTGAGCTGAGATCCGGCCACTGCACTCCAGCCTGGGCGTCAGAGCGAGACTCCGTCTCAAAAAAAAAAAATAAAAAATAAAAATAAAACCACCGCGACAGTGATTAGCTCACAGCCCTGTTTTTCCTCCTAGTGGTGAAAGTGCCACAGAAGACACTGCTGATGGATGCTCTTAAAGAAGAATCTGAGATAATCTATGACTTTTGCATGTGCAACCCTCCCTTTTTTGCCAATCAATTGGAAGCCAAGGTAAAATGTCTTCTGCTTTAAAATAATTGAATATAGGCCGGGCACAGTGGCTCACGCCTGTAATCCCTGCACTTTGGGAGGCCAAGGTGGGCGGCTTATGAAGTCAGGAGTTGGAGACCAGCCTGGCCAACATGGTGAAACCCCTTCTTTACTAAAGATACAAAAAATTAGCCAGGCGTCGTGGCCCACA